AAAAAAAAAAAAAAAAAAAAAAACCAAATAAAAAGAAAGGCATTAAAACAATAGGGACTAGACACAAATACAGGCATCCTAGCATATTGCTAGTGCACCAAAGCTTGGAGTATCACACAATTGCAGTCTGCATCTTGTCTCTGTCACTTAATGGCTATGTGATTTGGGCCCTAGTTCCTTCACCTCTCATCTGTAAAGAGAGGATAACAATTGCCTGGAACTTCTGTGATGATTAAATGAGATAATCTAAGTACAACCCAATTTAAGTGGCAGCTAAGACTGAGTAAATGTTGATGCTGACAACCTCAGAGGTGCCATGGCTTTGGGCCTTCACCATTTAGACACCACTGCATGAAGCCAGGGCTCCACTGTGGTTTTAGCCTCTGAACAATGCTAGTGAGCCTAAGTCAAAAGAAGAAAGGGCAAAGGTGTTACAATTTCTTACTCTACAAGGTACTTCACAAACTGAAATATAAGGGAAGCCCTGGAAACTGGTTAGTCTGTTTCTGTGCACTGATAGATGATTAGCAGTTAAACTAAAAAATCCTTCTGCAGTAAACTTTGTATGCGTACATGACAAAAAGCTCTGTCCAAGTGGTGGCTCACGCCTGTGGGAGGCCGAAGCAGGTGGACTGTCTCAGCACACTCGAGACCAGCCTGAGCCAGAGCAAGATCCCATCTCTAAAAACAGCCAGGTATTGTGGCGGGCCCCTATAGTCCCAACTACTACTTGGGAAGCTGAGGCAAGAGAATCGCTTAAGCCCAAGAGTGAGCTGTGACGCCATAGCACTCTACTGAGGGTGACAATGTGAGATTCTGTCTCAAAAAATAAAATAAAATAAAGCAAAAAAAAAAAAAAAGCTCTGTCCAAAATTGATCTATGAGGTTAGGGTTTTTTGTTTGTTTCTTCCTAGATTTGGCTAGGCGCCTGTGGTTCAAGTGGCTAAGGCGCCAGCCACATACACCTAAGGTGGTGGGTTCGAATACAGCCCAGGCCCACCAAAACAACAATGATGACTGCAACCAAAAAATAGCCAGGTGTTGTGGCAGGCGCCTGTGGTCCTAGCTACTGGGGAGGCTGAGGCAGGAGACTCACTTGAGCCCAGGAGTTGGAGGTTGCTGTGAGTTGTGATGCCATGGCACTCTACCCGGGGGGATAGCTTGAGGCTCTGTCTCAAAAAAAAAAAAAAAAAAAATCTTCCTAGATTTAATGGTCTCAGAGGGCCCAAGTGTGAAGCATTCCAAATGTAACAACCCAGCTTAGGTGGTGGTGTTATCTCCATCTTAGAAATTACTATTCTGAGGCTCAGAGAGCCTAAGCAATTTGCATGAGATCACATAGCTAGGATGCAGAGTCAAGATTTATTTATTTTATTTTATTTTTTGGCCAGGGGCTGGGTTTGAACCCGCCACCTCCAGTATATGGGGCTGGTGTTGGCGCCCTACCCCTTTGAGCCACAGGCACAGGCCCAGAGTCAAGATTAAACTGAGATATGCAGTTGAGACATGCTTCAACTCCTGATCTAAATGTCCCTGTACATACTTTTGCCACTAAAATCACATATTTTGCATCTTTCTTGCTTAATTTTAAAAACTTTTATTCTTTTTTTTTTTTTTTTTTTTTGAGACAGAGTTTTACTCTGTTGCCCTCGGTAGAGTGCTGTGGGGTCATAGCTCACAGCTATTTCCAACTCTTGGGCTTAAGTGATTCTCTTGCCTCAGCCTCCTGAGTAGCTGGGACTACAGGTGCCCGCCACAACGCCTGGTTATTTTTGTTGCAATTGTGACTGCTGTTTTAGCTGGCCAGGGCCGGGTTTGAACTCGCCACCCTTGGTATATGGGGCCGGCACCCTATGCTCTGAGCCAGAGGAGCCGCCCAAAACTTTTATTCTTTTATTAAATAAATTCAGACTTACAGAAGTTGCCAGAAGAGTACAAAGAAACCTCACGTACCCTTTACTGAGATTTCCCAAATATTATTTCACCTCATTTGCTTTTTCATTCTCTATTTTTTCCTAACCATCTGAGAATATGTCATACCTCTTTATTCTTTATGCCAGAGTATTTCCTGTAATTTGTTGTTTTAATCTCCATTTATTATTGCATTCCTTATGCTATTTTTCTCAAGTTGATTTTGCTTTATTCAGAGTTCTCTCTTGATGATAATCCTACTTCTATCATCAGATAATAGCAACAAGATATGAAGTGATATCAATATTAAATGAAGTCTTTTTTATTCTTTGTATGTATAATATTGTTTTATCTAATCAGTGAAAAAAGCAACAATGATATTATTTGATGTTAACACTGAGTAGGAAAGAATTCCAAAGATTCCATCTGATTTGAATCACTATCACACTGCTTATGTCACTTACTAAGACTGTGGTGCCTATCACGAACTTCTCGATGTTCTACCATCTTGTTGGGCTCCCGATACAGGTGAGAAGTTGCAATATCTTCTAAGGTATAATGCTGAAGAGGTGGAGGAGTAGGATGGAACTGGCCTCTAGGATTCATGAGGGGTACAGTGAGGGCAGGACTGTGCCGGGGAGCAGGGCTAATGGTACACACTCTCTTGGCAGGAGGCTCAGGAGCAATTGTATCTCTTTCAAAACTGTTCTCTTCTCTTCTGTAGAGGAACCACAAATGCACATCTGAGCTGTCAACAGCTGTTCATGCAAACATTTCCTCTATGCCTACTTTGTGTTACACATTATATTAGGCACTATCATAAACAGGAAGACTGTATGCAAAGGCATGTAATGAATTGTCTTTAGGGCCAGGCACGTCATGTAAATTGCTGATTTATGCCAGCATTAAAAGAAGAGTCAAATCCACCTGAAACTTCACAGAAATATCTAACCCTCATGAAGCAAAGGAGAGACTAAGGTGATGATAATGTTTTCTTTATGTGATAGGAATATTAAGAATTATCGGCTCAACTATATTTAGGAATGTTTTAAAATCAAATCTGTTACCATGGAGGTGAGTTATTGGAAACAAACAATTCTCTACATGGGAGGAAAAAGGCTCACATAATTAATCCAGTTGTGACTTGGTAGGGTTTTCAATCATTCAGCTTCAAAGTTGCAACAAATTTTCTTTAGTTACAAAAGAAAAATATTGCTTCTAGATCGTACATGGTGGCTCACTCCTATTATCCCAGCACATTAGGAGGCTAAAGTGGGAGAATTTTCCGGGGGGGAGCAGAGTTTGACACCAGGCACAGAGCAAGACCTCGTCTTTATAAAAACATCAAAAAAAAAAATAGGGTTAGGTGTGGTGGCTCATGCCTATAATCCTAGCACTCTGGGAGGCTAAGCGGGGAGGACAGCTTGAATTCAAGAGTTCAAGACCAGCTTGAGCAAAATCAAGACCTCTATTTCTACTAAAAATAGAAATAATTAGCTAGTGGTACTAGCACACACCTGTAGTACTAGCTACTTGGGAGGCTAAGGCAGGAGAATTGCTTGAGGCAATTGCTTGAGGCAAAAAGAATTGGAGGTTGCTGTGGATGATGAGGACAGTACTATATTCTAGCCATGGTGATAAAGCAACACTCTGCCTCCCTCTCCCCCCCAAAAAAGTCCTTGATAACTCATAGAATATTTTGGTAGCCACTAAAACCAAATTTTTTAAAGAATAAATTTATATAATTTTAATTTCAGTAATGTATTAAGTATAGTTATCTAAGAGTTCACACATTAGAAAAAAGATGCCTCTGACATAAAAATAATAAAAATTCTCCAAAAAAGAGAAAAGAATACCTTTGGAAGATAATATTTCCTTAGATTTCTGACAAGTGGACCCATAGAGAGCTCTAGAGTTTCTCAGCAGGGGTGTGCAGAGTCCTCTGAAGAGTTTTTGAAAAATACTCATGTCTGGGAGCTACTCCTATAGATTTTAGACTTACACTACTGTTTGGTGTTGGGATAATGCAAAAATAACCTTACAGAAGTCTGAGTCATTACCTGCTTACAACCACAGCAATAGAATTCTTTCTTTCTTTTTTCACAATTTTTGGCCGGGGCTGGGTTTGATCCTACCACCTCCGGCATATGGAGCCAGCGCCCTATAGAATTCTTTCTTTCACAAGGAAGGGAAAGGTCAGAGTAGTTCCACAAAGGCAAGGACAACAAAGTTCTTCTCCTGCTCACCTCTCTGGACTGGGCCTCTTCCCATTTCCATGTACCTCCATGAGCAGCTCAGAAGAGTCAGCAGGAGATGCGATGCTTGTGTTGAGAAGAAGGTGTTCATGCTGAGCCAGGTACTGGGACGGGGTCTGCTTGGCTGCCCGAGCACAGTGTAGCAGTTCTCGCTGCAGCAGGGGCAGATTAGCCTTGAAAAGAAGAGGCAGTTTCCCCTATACAACAGGACTTAGCACCTCACAAAGGTTTTCATAAAGCTGATGATGTAAGGCAAAAAAACCCTCCCCTCCAGGTCAATATAATTTTCATATGGTTCTGTGAGTAAAGTGACATCTATTATACAGTACTCAAATTATTGACTGAGTTGTCTTTTGCCCGAACCAAATGTAAATCCTCTTAAGTAAGAGACTGTGCCTTATTTACCTTTGTGACCTATTACCAAGTCAAAGTTCAATAAAGGTTTGTTAAATATACTAATTTAAAAACACACATTTTGATGAGTTTGGTCAGTTAGAGAATTATTACTGCCTATATAGGAATGTGAGAAACTCACTTTTTCCTCTATCATTATATGCCCTGGTTTCTCTCTTCTGAATTCCAACCTATCTCTGATAGTGCTGTTCAACCTTTCTTCTTGTTCTCAATGAGAACTGCCACAGAATTCCAGAAACTGTGATCCTGCAACACTGGATTTTAAAAAGAAGTATTGGGAGTAATATGATATATAAAAGCACAATTAACTACTGATATTTTTCCTTTTCTCATACCTATAATATGGAATCATATTTAAAACCGTATACATATATAGTTTTTTGAGACGAGGCCTTGCTATTTTGCCTGAGCTAGAGAGCAGTGGCATCACTACTTGAACTCTTGGGCTCAGGTAATCCTCCTTCCCTTAGTCTCCCAAGTAGCCAGGACTACAGGCATGTGCCACAATGCTGGGCCATAAAACCCTATACATCTTTTAAACTTCAGCATTCTAATTCTTTCATATATAGAATTTACTTTTCCCATATTTGTTTTATCAAAAGAAATAAGAATCATATTTTTTTGACCAAATTTAAAAATAATTCAGGCTGAGTCCATTAATAAAAGCCTTTCCCCCAAGGGACACCCAAGTAACTGAAAGGACAGTACACGCAAGTAGTCATCCCGTTATGGAGGGTTAATTTAGCAGGGACCATAATTAGTGACAGTTTTAAAGCAGAAATAAATTGACAAAACCCCAAATGCTAGCCAAAAAGCTGCCATAACAACCTACCTCATGCTGTTTTCCAAAATAACAAGAGTTAAGAATAGGGAATTTGATGATATGAAATAATTTTTAAGTCTATTCCATAACCTCGATCTTTTTTCAACTATACAAATTTTTCTTTTTTTTTTTTTT